GAGTATGGCTGTGTTCCAATAAAACTTATTTACAAAACAAGCAGCAGGCTGTTTTTTTTTTTTTTTTTTTTTTTTTTTTTTTTTTTTTTTTTTTACAGGCAGAGTGGACAGTGAGAGAGAGAGACAGAGAGAAAGGTCTTCCTTTTTGCCGTTGGTTCACCCTCTAACGGCCGCTGCGGCCGGCGCATCGCGCTGATCCCGATGGCAGGAGCCAGGTACTTATCCTGGTCTCCCATGGGGTGCAGGGCCCAAGGACTTGGGCCATCCTCCACTGCACTCCCTGGCCACAGCAGAGAGCTGGCCTGGAAGAGGGGCAACCGGGAAAGAATCCGGCGCCCCGACCGGGACTAGAACCCGGTGTGCTGGCACTGCAAGGCGGAGGATTAGCCTAGTGAGCCACGGCGCCGGCTCAGGCTGGGTTTTTAAGAACATTTACATTTAAGATAATTATTGATAAATATGAGCTCTACTATATTGTTTTCTATTTTTAGCATCTGGATTTTTTTTTTCATTTCCCTTTTCTGCCCTCTTGTGGATAATTTGATTTTTTTAAGTACTCCATTTTAATTTATCTATTGGATTTTTTAATCTATCTATTGGATTGATTGTCTCAGGGTTGCAGTATAATACATACTTTTTATAATCTATTAAAATGGATACTTTAATATTTCTATCACTACCTTATAGTTCCTTTTCTCTTCTCCATTTATATTGTCATTGTCAAATGTATTAAATCCACATACATTACAAACTCCACCAAAGGGGAGAGAGTTTGGCTTAGCAGTTAAGTCACTGGTCGAGAAGTGCACATCCCATATGAGAGTTCCTGGGTTTGATATGCAGCTTTGTCTCCTAACTAGCTTCTTGGTAATGCAGAGCCTGGGAGCCTGGAATGGCCCAAGTAATTGGATTCTTGCCACCACATTCAAGATCTGGGTTGAGTTCTCAATTCCTGGCTTTCGCCTTGGCCCAACCCTGGCTGTCACAGGCATTTGGTAGAGTAAACCAGCATTTGGGAGCTCTCTTCCTCTGTTTCTCTGATTCTCAAAGAAAAAGAAAAACACCAGAAAATATTTTATGTTTTAAGTTTTGCTTTCACTTGTCATACAAATTTTAAGGAACTTAAGGGTTTAAACATAGCTTATTATATTCACCCAGATAGGTATCATTTCTATTGCTTTTTTTTATTCTTGAAATTTTAACTTTCCTACCACCCTTCTACATGATGAATTTCATTAGGTATTTTTTTTTGAAGCAGTTCTGCTGGTAAAAATATTTTCTTAGTTTCCCCTCATCTGAGAATGTTTCTATTTCTCTTTAATTCCTTAAATACATTTTTCTCTAGAAATACAGTCCTGGGTTGATGTTTCTTCTTTCTTTTTGAAAAAAAAAAAAAGACCTATTTAATTATTTATTTGAAAGGCAGAGTGACAGAGAGTGAAAGAGACCAGAGTGGGGGGGGGGGGGAGAGAAAGAGAGAGAGAGAAAGAGAGAGAGATCGAGAGATCCAATCTTCCATCTGCTGATTCACTCCCCAAATGACCACACTAGCTAGGTCTGGGTTAGAAAAATCCAGGAACTACATCTGGGTTCATTTGTTACATAAAGTTTAATGATTTACATTTAAGACTTTAGTCATTTTAAGTCATTAAATAAGGTGTAAGGTCAGAAACTGTAAAACTACTAAAAGAAAACATTGAGGGTGAAAAACTACACGACACTGGTCTGGGCAAGGATTTTTTTTTTAAACTTTGACCCCTTACATGCAGGCAATAGAAGCAAAAATAAACAAATGGGACTATAATTGACAGTGTGCAGAGACAACCTACAGATGGGACAAAGTGTTTGTAAGCCATACAGCCAATAGGGTTTAATATTCAAAGTACAGCAGGAACGCAAATAACTCAATAGTATGAAAATGAAAAGTCCAATTTAAAAAATAGACAAGGAAGCTGAATAGACATTTCTTCAAGGAAGACATGCAAATGGTCAACATTTGTGAAAAAGTGTTCAACATCACTAGCCTTAGAGAAATGCAAATTAAAACATATTGAGGAATCATCTCACACCTATTGTAATGATTTTAAGAAAAACTATGAAAGACGAGGGCTGGTGCTGTGGTGTAGTAGGTAAAGCCACTGCCTGAAGTGCCGGCATTCCATTTGGGTACCCATTTAAGTCCCAGCTGATCCACTTCTGATCCAGCTCTGGCCTGGGAAAGCAGTACAAGATGGCCCATGTCCTTGGGCCTCTGCACCCACGTGGGAGACCTAGAAAAAGCTCCTATCTTTGGGATTGGCCCAGTTCCAGCCATTGTGGCCATATGGGGAGTGAACCATCAGATCAAAGACCTCTGTCTCTCTCCCTTTCCCTCCATCTCCGTAACCCTGACTTTCAAATAAATAAATCTTAAAAAAAAAATAGGATGAAAGATAACAAGTGTTGGTAAGAATAAGGAGACATCACTGATGGGAATGTAAACAATTATAGGAGTACTTTCAAAAGTTCATAGAAAATGAAATTAAAAGGGTCGGCACCGTGGCTCACTTGGTTAATCCTCTGCCTGCGGTGCCGGCATCCCATATGGGCGCTGGTTCTAGTCCCAGTTGCTCCTCTTCCAATCCAGCTCTCTGCTGTGGCCCAGGAGGGCAGTGGAGGATGGCCCAAGTGCTTGGGCCCCTGCACCCACATGGGAGACCAGGAGGAGACACCTGGCTCCTGGCTTCAGATCGGTGCAGCGCCGGCCGAAGTGGCCATTTGGGGGGTGAACCAACGGAAGTAAGACCTTTCTCTCTGTGCTCTCTGTCTATAACTTTACCTGTCAAATAAAAAAAAGAAATTAAAATGTAAGGTTACTTTGGTGAAAAAAATTGAAAATCCATGCATACAAAAAGTCTTTAGAAAGCTCCTGAAAAATGCATATCGTGCAAGAACTATGCATTAGTTTAAGAAATTGGCACCAAAATAAACATTTTAAATTCAATTTTCCTATGAACTTTTGAAAGTACCCTCATAAAGCCATTATGGCAAACTGGAAGCTTCTCAAAAACTAAAAACAGAATTACTATATGATCTAGCAATCTCCTTTCTGAATTTATATCTGAAAGAAAGAAATCAATATTTTAAAAAGATATCTCATTTCATTTGCAGCACTATTCACAATAGCCAAGTTATATACTCAACTTAAGTATCCATTAAGAGATGAATGGATGAAGAACCTGTAATACATACACACACACGCACACAAGTGGAATACTATTCATTCAGCCTTTAGAAAGAAGGAAATTCTGTCATTTGTGACAACATGCATGAAATTGGAGGATATTATTGCTAAGTGAAATAAATCAGGCACAGAAAGAAAAATACTGTGAGTTCTCATGTAAATGTTGAATCTAAAACAAATCATTTTGGATAATTGTAGATAATTAGCAGAATGGTGATTACAGAGGCTGGGACATGGATGCAATGGAAAGATAATGACCAAAGGATACTACATCTCTGAGGGAGGAATATGGTGTTAAACTTTGTGTTTTTTTTTTTTAGGGTTCTACTGCACAGCATGGCAAATTTAGTTAATAATAAAATTCTGTATATTTGAACTTGCTAAGAGGGTAAATCAAATGTGCTAGCCACAAAAACTGTTAAGTATTTGAGATAATGGATACATTGCCTACTTTAATTATTTCACATTATATTGATAAAAGATAACATCATTTTAGTCCATAAATGCATATGTTATAAATGACCAAATTATAATAAAAATTAATGTTGTAAATTATCTTTCTATATTTGAAAAACTTTGAAATGTAATCCACATATAGAAAAACTACAAAATATAAATGTATTCAATTCAGATTTATCTCAAAGGAAAATTCCATAGAATGACAATATATATTAAGATATAGAATATCATCAGAAATCCCAAATTGCTATTCTCCCAATCACTATAGCTTTCCCTTCCTGGGTAGCTACTATTCTACATTTTTTTGTAATAATTTTCTTATTTTTAGTTTTACTATGTCTTGCCATTTGATAGAGTATTTTTTCCTTATTTAGGTTTTTCATTTATTTAGATCTCTGTTAAACATATTTTCTGTTCAATCAATTCCAATACCTGATGTCTTTGCATGAATGAGTCTAGTCTGTTATTCCTGTTGACTCTCATGGCACTTGTTTTCTTCATATGCTTTTAGTCATTTTTGAATGTGAGCTCAATTTTGTTAGAAGCCCAGCAATGTACTTAAAAGAAGACTTAAATTTTTATGGAGCATTTTAGGTGTTCTGTAATAAGAAAACTAAAGGATATTCTTATCTTAGCACTTTTCAATAGAAGATTCATTTTTGAGAGCACACAAAAGGTTTACTTTGGGAAAAATTTGTGGGTGGGAGATTTTGCCTATATGACTGCAAAACAGAGTTTCCACAGTGTGACTGACCTACTCTGCATAATAACATATATGGTTAATTTTATTCCCTGTTGTTGGAGGTATGGCTCTATGGCAAAGAGGCCTCTAAGAAGTTGAGTCACAAAGATAGAGCCAGGGCTGACATTGTGGCACAGCAGGTTAAGCCGTTGCCTGCAGTGCCAGCATCCTTTATGGGTGCTGGTTCACACCCTGGATATCCCACTTTCAAAACAGCTCTCTGCTAACGTGCCTGGGAAACCAGTGGAGGATGGCCCAAGTGCTTGGGTTCCTGTATCCACATGGGATACCGAAGCTCCTGGCTTGTGGCTTCAGATTGGTCTACTTCCTGCCACTGCGGTCATTTGGAGAGTGGGACAATAGATTGAAGACCACTCTCTGTTTTGCCCTCTCTCTATGTAACTCTGCTTTTCAAATAAATAAAATAAATCTTAAAAAAGATAGAGCTATTTACAGACCTAGATAAAATAACTGCAAAAAGCTGCATAGCATAGTCTCTGATGAATCAGTGAATAAATGGTATAGTGAATAAATTTAAATTGTTCCTATAATATGTGTTTGTAATATTTTACTAACCTTGAACATATATTTGACCCAACACCATTTTCTTGATTTAATGCCAATAATTCCACTAGGAAGGTTTTGCTTTCTTCCTAGTTTTCTAAATGAATGATGATTTTTTAAATAAAGAATGCCATTTATGAGAAAATATATTCCATCCCGTAATAGGCTCACACCAGTTACATTCTGTCTTTCACTGTCACTCAGACTGTTTGGAGGCACTCTGATTTTGGTCCAAGTACGGAAGGAATCATTTGTTTGAAAAGTCTCCTTATCAGTGACCACAACAACATATGAAGGAACACAGGCCATCCAGGAAGACATTAGCTGACTCCCAGCTGGTGAAGAGATAGGTAAAGAACCAGGATTCTCAGAAATAGTTGCCAAAGGAAAAGTTAGCAGAAAAAGCATATCTGCAACGAAGCAATCTTGAAAAATTACTTGGTTCCCTTTAATCTCCTTTATCACATCATCTGATGTCATCGGTACTAAAATGTGCCAGATCCTAAGAGAAAAATTAAACATAAGAGTAAAACGATCATCCTCTGGTCTGCCTAGCAGTGTTCACACTTAATACATTTTAACTTTTATAAACATAAACCTAGGTAAAGCACATATTATTCAAATGTTAATATTTAACCCCATTGATTCTCACTCATTAGTCCCAAAGGAAAAGAATCTTAACTCTGACAGCTTTTTCTCCCCCAATATTCTCCATATTCCCAAATAAATATTCTTATTTCTTAATATGTGATATCTTCAAAAAGTTCACAGAAAATACATATTATGAAAAACTACACATAAATTTCAGAAGTTTTTGTACTGAAATAAGCTTTATTTCATTTTTTGAAGAAGTTTTTCAAATACTCTTTAATATAATTTTATACAGTATCTATTGCCTTCTTAATGGCAGATGAAGATGTATCTTCCATATACCATGTCTCCAATACATCTTCTTCCTCTCTCTCAAATGAATAATATCACACCTACTAGTTTAATCAAGTATTTATATTGTTATTACTACGTAAGTGTTGTTTACCACTGAGACAACTGTACTATGATTATGTTTTTAATTGTGTTATTCAAAACAATTTGTTTAATTTTCTAATGTGCAACTAAAATATCTTCCGTGTGGCAAAAAAGTTATCTTTCATTACCCTCTGGGTCAAAGTCACAACTTAATTTTATCTCATGCTTTGATCTTTCTTGTTTTGCTAACGCACATTTTAAACAGAGAACGTATTTGTCAAAAACCCTTATCCTTTCATGATCAAAACATTAAAGACTGAATGGTTTTACTTTAACAGGAGAAACAAGTCAAGAATATTTGCTTCCATTTCTATTCATCATTTGTACTAGAGGTTCTAGCCAGGGAAATTAGGAAAGAAAAAAGAAATAAGTGGCCTCTATATTGGAAAGAAAGAAGTCAAACTATATCTGTTCACAAATGACATGATCTTGTATTTAGAAAATCCTAAGGAATCAATTAAAAATAATTAGAACTAATAAATTCAGCAACATTACAGTATGTAAGGTTGATATAGGTAAATCAATTATATTTTTATACAGTACAATAAATAATCCAGAAATAAAATTACACAGCCAATTCCATTTGCAATAGCATCCAATAAAAAGGAAAACCTCTAGGAATTTAACCAAAAAAAGCACAAATTTATACTGTGAAAAGTGTTTTACCATTATTGAAAGGAATTAAATAAGAGCAATATTAATAGAAAGACATCCCATGTTCATGAATAGGAAGACTTAATATCATTAAGATAATATACTCCCCTAATTGACCTACAATTTCAATACAGTTATTTACAAATTCCAACTGACTTCTTTGAAGAAACTGACAAACTGATTCTAAAATTCATATGAAAATATAAGAGACCTAGAATGGCCAAAACAATCTTGAAAAAGAAGAACAAAGAGGGAAGACTAAGACTTCATGATTTTAAACTTACTATTAAGCTGTAATATTAAAGAAAATGTGTTCTAGCATAAGGATAAATATATAGGGCAATGGAACTGAGTTGAAAAGTCCATCTATGTACTGGTACATTTGTTGTCAATTGACTTTCAACAAGATTTGAAACAATTCTTATGGGGAAATAAGTCTTTTTCAACAAATTGTGCTGAGACAGTTAGAAATAATTTGAATCTATATCTAATACCACAAAAATGAACTCAAATTAGGTCAAAGACCTAAATGTAAGCTAAAACTCTAAGATTCTTAGAAAAAAAATGTGATCAATTTTTTGTGACTTTGAATTTGGTAATGGTTTCTTTGGTATGATATCAAAAGCACAAGGAACAAAATAAAAATAGATAAATTAAACTTCCTAAAAGTCTTGTGCTTCATTGATATGAAGGACATGAAGAGAAACCTCATAAAGGTAGAAAATTTTGTACTCATATTTCTGATAAAGCACTTGTTCTTAGAATATATAAATTACTCAGAGCTCACTAAGCAAAAACTACAAATAACCTGATTACAATATGGTAACATATTTGAAAAGAAGATGTACAAATGGACAATAATCACATGAAAAGATATAATCATAAGAGAAATACAAAACCACAATAAAACATCATTTCACATCTATTCAGGTGGCTATAACTGAAAACACAGATAATAATAGAGGTTAGTGAGGGTATGGAGAAATGGAAATGCCCATACACCAATGATAGAAATGAAAATGGTGTAACTATTTTATAAAAGGCTTGTAGCTCATCAAAAATTAAATGCAGAGATTTCATATGTCAGTAATTTCATCCCTAGTGAAATGGTTTAGACATTAATTTGGGTGTCCCCCAATGGCAGATACATTAAAGGCATGGCCCCAAGTTTTATGTTAATGATATTAAGAGAGTGGAAACTCAATCCAAATATGGTCTTTAGAAAGTGAAGGCAGGGCCGGCACCGCAGCTCAGTAGGCTAATCCTCTGCCTGTGGCGCTGGCACACCAGGTTCTAGTCCCGGTCGGGGTGCTGGATTCTGTCCCAGTTGCCCCTCTTCCAGGCCAGCTCTCTACTATGGTCCAGGAGTGCAGTGGAGGATGGCCCAAGTCCTTGGGCCCTGCACCCCATGGGAGACCAGGAGAAGCACCTGGCTCCTGCCTTCGGATCAGTGCGATGTTCTGGCCACAGCGCGCCAGCCATGGCGGCCATTGGAGGGTGAACCAATGGCAAAAGGAAGACCTTTCTCTCTGTCTCTCTCTCTCACTGTCCTCTCTGCCTGTCAAAAAAAAAAAAAAAAAAAGAAAGAAAGAAAGAAAGAAACAAATAAACAAAGAAACAAAGAAAGTGAAGGCAGAAAATCCTTCAGTAAAAATATAAAGGAAACCCAAAGTAAATAGAAATATTTATGGAAAACTGGCAGGGCCAAGTCATTACTTATTAATAGTCACCTTAAATGTAAATGGCCTCAGCTCTCCAGATAAAAGGTTCAAAGTGGTTGAATGGATTAAAAACAAAACTCATCTATTTGCTGTCTACAAGAAACAAAACTCCCCAACAAAGATACATGCAGAATGAAAGTGAAAGGATGGAAAAAGATATTCCATGCTTACAAGAAAACACTGAAGAAATTGAAGACATTGAAGAAATCAAGAGAATTAAAAAAAAATTCTAGAAACAAATAAAGATGACAATACAATATATCAAAACTTATGGGCTCTCTCCTTGTTCTCTTGTCTTGCTGCTCTCCTCTCCTCTCTCTTCTCTCCTTGCTAGCTCTTGCTCCCTTCTCTTCGTTCCTCTCTCTTCTCTTGCTCCTCTCTTCTCTCATCTCTTTCTTCTCTCCTCGCTAGCTCCTCTCCTCTCTCTCTCTCCTTCTGTCTGTTACACTCTCCTTCTTTTTCTTCCTTCACCCCTTCCCTCCAGTCTGCTGGGTTTTCCCCAATAAACCCTTTCCCTTAAAAAAACTTATGGTATATAGCAAAAGCAGTCTTAAGAGGAAAGTTCATAGCAATTGGTGCCTACGTCAAGAAATTGGAAAGGCACCAAATAAATGAGCTATCAAGGCATCTCAAGGATCTAGAAAAACAACAGGAAACCAAACCAAAAACTAGTAGAACAAAAGAAGTAATTAAACTTAGTGAAGAAATAAACAAAATTGAAAAAAATAGAAAAGATCAGCAAAATGAAGGGCTGTTTTTTTGAGAAAATGAACTAACCAAAAAAAAAAAAAAAAAAAAGAGGGAGAAGACCCAAATCAACATAATTAGATATGAAAAAAGAAATGTAACAACAGACACCACAGAAATAAAAAGAATTATTAGCAATTACTACAAAGAGCTGTATACCAACAAACTGGGAAACCTAGAAGAAATGGATAGATTCCTGGACATATACAACCTACATAAATTGAGGCATGAAGACATAGAAAACCTAAACAGACCAATAACCAAGTTAGAAATGTCAGAAATTAAATTTACATAATTTTATTAGGCTGCTGGGGTGGAGTATTCATGATTTAATCATTGTGGCTTTAGAAAACCAGATGTAGACAGACACATGCTCCACATGCTCCTGCTTGCCATGTAATGCTCTGTGCTACCTCAGGACTCGGCCAGCAATAGTGCCATCACCAGAGGCCAAATCAGTGGGGTCACTTAATCTTGGACTGGAACCTTCAAAACCATGAATTAAAATAAACCTCTTTCGGGGGCAGAGCCAAGATGGCGGAATAGTGAGGGCGCACACCAATAGTCCGGGAAAAGATAGTTTGATAAAAGTGGAGTTACTGTAGCCTCAGGAAAAGGCTCAGGAAAAAATTGCCGAGGAAACTCTTCTGGATCTAGTGGATGTGATGTGGAGGACCTACGGGGAGAGCAAGGTCGCCCACCACGTGGAAGCCCAGCCTCAGAGTCTGTGTGCCAGCGCTGGAAGGGGAGGTAAGACAAAAACCCCGTAACCCGAGACATTGGCGGGGAAAGGCAGAAAGAGCCTAGAGGGAATGAGGCCTGAAGCCCCGCTGGGGAAAGTTCACCACGCTGACTGGAGGAGAGAAAAAAATGAATAAATAAGGGGAACCGGCATGGACACTAGCCTCTCTCTCCAATCACCTTACAAAGCAAGCAAGACAAAGAGCAGGCAGCATTTTATGTATGTAAAGCGGTGCTCGCCATTAGCCAAGCAGAAAAACCTGACTCTGGTGGGGAGAAATGGCAGGAGGTTAGGACCTAGTGAAAGTGTGGAGCTAATGAACTGAGACTGTGAAAATCTGAAGGGGGGTGAGAGAACTCACCGAGTACACAAACTCGGTAACCTTGGCAACCTGGTGAGAGACTGTGGAGAAATCTGAGACCACACTGAGGGCTGCATAAACTCTTTGTGTGGTTCCAAGGGTAGAGCAGACGAATACCCACAGGGGCCAGATTTCATACATCAACTACCCTCAATTCCACTCAGCTGTGTGGAATTACTTCCCTCTGAGTCAAAAAAAAAAAAAAGATAGATAGAGAGAGAGAGAGCAAGCGAGAGAACAATCTGGGTGAG